TCAGGAGCAGAGAACAACTGCTTAAAGATACTGCCGGCGAAGGAAAACATCAAATTTCATCCCTGGGGCTGAGGCAAAAACAGGGCCCAGCACTCTCGACTTCATAGACTTAGAAGACGGAGTATAAAATAAAATAAAAATAACAACAACATGCACATCAAAACCAAAACCCAGCAAATCCAAGAAAAGTTCAGATAGGTCTTTACTGGAACTGAAGAGAGGAAGAAAATCAAATAAATTGGGGGGTTAGAATCGTTCGAGTTGTCCCGACAAACCAGAAAACGCTGTTTAGAATATATGAGGAGGGTGACAGAGGACGGTGCTTAATGACGCAGAAAGCAGATACCACATGTTTACCCCAGCACACTCCAAAAGAAAAGCCCCTCTCTCCTGTTAGAAGGCGGTGGGGACAGAAAACTGAAATGCAAGGCAGCTTAAGTGCTCCCTGGAATCACTCAGCGTCCCCCCCCCCCCCCATCTTCTACACACACGGAGTCAAAATTTGACTGCGACAGTGTATTCATCCATAACAGTAAATTGTTCTTTGGGGAATTTGGCAGGGCTTCATGTTCTCCCTCCCATCTTTCCCCACTACAGTCCCAGTATGTTCTCTTTTTCCAAAAAGCTGTCTCCATCACTCTCAATCACAAGCTCCTTGTTCGTATGTAAAAACAGACACTTGCCAAAGCAATTGTGGGATTGCTCCACGCTTAATTATTATAAAACCAGAGATATCCACGAGGCAGCACAAGGATCAGAAACACGTAAAGATGGATAAAAGCACATTTTGTTTGTAGTGTCCACAAATACTGTTTTGTGTCTTTAGGCCTGTTGAAATAAACAATAAATCAATTAATCGCATGATAAATGAAAATTATCAAACTCATTTCATTTATCGGCTTTATCGTTTCTTCGTGTCTCTTTCTACTGAAGACACTGGATGACAAAAGGCTCAACTCTGGTGCTCTTGACATTGACCCCTCCCTTTCTCTTTAAAATCTGTTTTAACCATCCAAAATCGTGTTTTTGTTTCGTTAAAAGCAGCTAAGCTGAGAAGCTAAGCTACGACCTAAGCTAACAGGCCAACCTCGGAAAAAAATCTCCGTCTTGTCAAAGCTCCAAAATTCACGGTTGAAACCTGTGACTTCGTGTAATAAGTTGTTTTTCTCTGCAAAAAAAAAAGCTGAGAACTTGTTTACTGATCTTTTATTAAAAGCTATGCGTGACAAATGCTATGCTAAAGAGTTCAAACCACACTGAGCGTCCGCCATTTTGAGAACCGAAAAATAGGAACGAGACAGCCCATGTCATGTCAAGGGGCCTCTCTCCCATTTTTCTTAAAGAGACACACTCCCTCTCAATTCATCCTTCGGTTCAAACAGTCTTATACTGCCATCTAGTGGTCAAAAAAGGCACTACATACAAAAATTAACCAATATTTCTTCTTCAATTTGAAAATTTCGAATTATTGTCAAATTTCAAACAATATTATCGTTTATCACAATAATTTCTGAGACAATTAATCGCCCAGCAAAATTTGTTATTATGACAGACCTAGTTGTCATTTTACTAATTACTACATGTATTTAAAGTTGGACACCTAGTTTTGGTTGAATTCCTAACCACTGATATCACGTCCAACAATGTTCAGTCAGGTCATCTGGATGGTTTCTTTTTTTGCTGAGACATTTCGTCCTTCATCCAAAGGACTTCATCAGTCAGAGGAGACGCAAAAAAACTGAGTCCCACAAGCACATTCCCATAGTGAAAAAAAAAAAGTTTGCTGGTGATAAGATGGTTTCTGGGGCCCGCCCTCTCCCCTTGTGGGACTCAGTTTGTTGTGGCTCCTCAGACTGATAAAGTCCTTTGGATGAAGGATGAAACATCTCAGCAAAAAAAAAAAATAAACTGTCCAGATGACCTGACTGAACATCGTTGGATTTGTACCTGGATTATCGAGCATGAACATTACTGATATCTCGTTTTCCTTAATTTTTTACTTAGCACTTTCTACTAGGTGTATTAGTGTTGGTCATAAAGGGTTTATTGAGTTGCTAGCCAAAATCCAGACACGTTTTAAGTAATTTAGAAATGTTACTTTGGTAAATACAGGAGTCTTCAAATTTCCTAAAGTGATTGTTCCATGAACATTACTCATGTCTAGATAACATAACAAGGACTCTGGTTTTTATTTTATTTTTTTAATTAACAACTTCCTTTCTGCTACGTTTTACAGTTTAAATCACATTTTTGGCTACAAACTGTTTTTGTGTTTGCCTGTCTTCCTACTTGTTGAGACAAATGGGACACCCTTCCTGAGCCTCGTTCTGTTGAAATAAGTTCTTTCTCCCCACTGTCTCCTTGTACCTTAAGGTCATGTGACACCATGATTGCATGAAAGATGGGAGTTAAAGTTCCACAACTCGAGTGCACACACTCTGGTCCTAAAATACGACATGGCAGCTTCCTGAAACAAGTTTTGCTGGTTTAAATTCCCAACAACAGGAATAGAAGGGAACACTTGGTCTATAATAGAACAAGTTTTTTTGTTTTAAACTGAATTTCTTGCTGCAGAAGAAGCATTAAACTTTGGTTAAACACTTTCATTTTCTATAAAGGTGACGTTTCAATAAACTGGCATTTTTAGGCTTTAAAAAACTGCTTTCCAATCGTCTCTGGTGATTAAATATATGTATCTACTTAGCTAACATGCAACAAAGTATGACACGATCTAAACAACAACAAAAAAACTACTCCTAATTCCTAAGACCACCTCAGAGATTCAGTGAATAAGTTTACGCTGCTTCATTTTCCAGGAAGTTCAAAAGTCGTTAGTTAAGAACAAACATTTCTGAGGAAAGAAATTACGAGTTAGTACGATTTACAGAAGGACAGAGTTTATTCCCATATTCCTCTATAAGGAGCTGAGAACAGTGAAGCGTGTGTTTTGTGTGCGTACGGGTGAGGGGGTGTTGGCAAAGTTTACCTTTAACAAAATGGGTGCCAATGAACAAAAATTTAAAAGATAACTTCCAGCAGTAAAGTTGCCCTCCCACCTCCTCCTTCTACACAACACCCCTACCTTCACCCCCTGCTCAAACCTCAGCCCCTTCGATACAGCTGGGAGAAAAGAAGAAAAAAAAACGAGGTCAAGGATCGCTTTACTCCAGCCTGCCTCCGTATGGTCTCCCCCCTCCTCCCTCTGCATCAACCCCTCTCACTTAAAACCTCATTCCATCACTGCAGCCAAATCCGTCTCCTCTCCTCCCCCCTGAGTTTCATTCTTCCCCTCCCCTCTTCTTCACTCCCACCCTCCCTGTGCCCTCAGCCCAGTGCTAATTGGTAAATCTGTTGAACCATGCCATCTCCAACAATGAGACACCTGGAGTTCTGTCAAAACAAGTTTCCCTGCAAAACGGCCTCCAGTGTTAATACAGTGGCGTGCAGAGCTGTTGTCGCTCATGAGGGCATCCACATAACGCAACTCATCTGGGTAAATTTGTCTGCACTCAGCTGTCAATCAGTGACTGTTCCATCAAGAAGAGATTAGTCATCAGTGTAATATCTAGCACTAGCCCGGTTCCTTGAGCAAAGCTACAATTAGAGAAGCACAATCGCTACAAACTTTTTAAACCCCCAGATGTTTCTGCTCTTGCTCAGAGCTCACATGGGTCCGAGAGTCAGATGTTAAGTCTTCAGTGGATTCATATGCAATCAAATGAACAAATACCATTGTCTCAACGAGCCCTGACAGCCTGTCACCTAAGACTCCAGTCACACCTTAGACTCAAGGACACTACGTGCACACTGCTGTCAACAAAGGCGTGTTTGTAAGGCACACACACACACACACACACACAGATATATATATATATATATATATATATGCAGAAAGACAGACCGGCACACCCAACCGTAATCCTGCCAGACCTCGTCAAACAAGTTTCAGCAGAGACAGGGGGAGGGAATGGAGGCATCAAGTTGACATGCAGAAAGGAATGCTAACTTTTATGTAAAATCTGTCTGCAACATTAAGCACGACTCTTTCTTCCAGCGTTTTCTTTTTGAACAGATTTATTCACCAACAACAAAGGCCCAACGGAGTGTGCACAATCAACAAGCAATTGATTAGTCAAACAATCCAAGTAGTCTCTCCAGAAGGCCATGGTCACCTCAGAGGAGATTAAGACGTCTCCTCTGGGCTCCGTAATGCCAACCCAATTCTGGCTTCACAGAGCCTGACTGAAGCAAATCAAAACAAGGCTTACTGAAGTCCCCGCCATGTCAGCTCTGCAGTAAAAACAACACTAACCTTACCTCCAGGCTCCAGTTTTTTTTTTTGTTGTTATTTTATTTACAGCTTGTGTTCTGGTGGAGTTTTTGTAAATAGTTGCAGGAAAACTATATTAAGCAGTGTTGTGCTCCTGTCGGATAGCGTTATCTTTGGTCTAAATCTTCAACCAGTGGATGTAAACACTATAATTACTTCATCTCTGCGTATAAAATTCTTTAAACCAGTATCTGTGAGGAAAGAAGACTTGATTAAAAGCAGCTGCGCAAGAAAGTGCAAACAGGACAAACTTTCTTCTTGTGCTAGTGGACTATAGGTTCATTTGTGCAAAATGGAATCATGTTGTTTCATTAGAGACTTTCCCTGAAAATGCATGTTGACTTGAGTGATATATAAACTGTTAGACATGATCCAAACATAGGATTCATTGCAAACAAAGATGACTTTAAAGCTAAACAAAAAGCTGAACAGTCAGCATAAATAAAAAGCTTATATGCGGGATTTCACACAGAAGCAAAGCAGCAGCACTGTTAGCCAAAAGCACAATACAGTGATTATAATTTCATCAAGATTTAAAGTTTTCATTTACTAGTGTTTAAAAAAAAAACATAAATCAGTTAATAATCAGTTGGTAATTTGTGTGTGGAATCAACCAAAAGAGATTCAAAGAAAATCCAAAAAGATATTTTTAGATTCAAAGGTCTCTCACCAAATGAAATTGGTGAAGGCTCAGATCTGACTGTCCGGGGAATTCCCAGCAGAAGGGCCCCTGAAAGGCAAAGATGGACGTTCCCAAGTCACACAATTATATCAGCTCTCCGTCTCTCCACCGTTTTCCTTACACACACATACACACAGATTTCCACACAATCACAGCCGACCAGGTTTTATGCAAAAAAAAAGTGTTCTCTGAAAATAATGCATAAGGCTTCTTTTTTTTTTTTTTTACTTATTTAAACCACTACCTCATCTCTGCTGGCTCAGCTTCCTCCTGGGTGTATGTTCGGCCCCTTTCGAAGTAATTTTACACAGAGAGAATGGGAGAACACTGGCTCGGCATTAGTAACACTATATCTGTACTTGCTGGCCGGCTGTTAAAACAGTGTTTCGCTTTGGTAAACTGTTTCCTCTCAAAGCGTGAACACTTAGCTGCTTTTGGGAGGGGTGTAGGGGGGAAACTTCTGACGCAATCGAATTCAGGTGCAAGATCAGGAACAGTCCATGAATGATATCGCCTGAGTGTGTAGTGTTTTTAACTAACATTTAAGCTAATACATTTCCACTTACATTAAGCTTTTTTGTTGTTTTCAGAGTGGTAATCTGAGATAGTGAACAGTACATAAACAACATTATAAGTATAAGGCATTCACAGGGTAAAACAAATAGGTTTCTATCAGAACAACTTTCTAACAGATTTTAAGAAAAGACAAAAAAAGAGAAATGTAGACACCGATTTCTTACAGAAGAAAGGACAGGCTGTAGCCAAAGTGAAAGAACATGCAGAGGAAAACAACAGGGCTTTAGTCTACTGAAGGGCTCCAACACCTTTAAGCTACTGTGCAATCAGATCACCAGGTTTTATTTGTACTTGTGCTCGACCCTCAGGCCTTATAGATAACTTCTCATAAAAAAGGAGACGGTGAACTCTGTGGTTAATGGTAAAACACACACTTACAGTAACACATACCTATTGTCCTTTTTAGTGTGCATGTCCAACAAAGAGTCACACATCCTCTAGGACAATTTCAGTTCACAGGGGTTAATTAACAAATATAGCAAGAGTAAAGCTGCAATGGTACACACACAAAATGCTCAGACACATTTAAAAGAGTTTCCTTAACTCTGTTCTTCGTAAACATTTACATTTACTAGCAAAAAGGCGACTCGTTGTTGTGGAATTGTAGCAAACTAAGCCAACACTGAGTGGATTGTCTGTGGGAACAAGCCACCGTCCAGACTATGGGCAGATACAATGACTGACTGACGTGCTCTCATTCTCATTCACAGTTCCCAGGCCTGACGCCATGTCTCGACGGCCACAGATTTTGGCCCGAGCCGATGATGTAAGCGTGACCCGTTGGACAAACGTCTTGTCCAGAGGAGACGGCGAGCGACAGCGGAGGGGAGCAACAGTCTAAGTGCTAAATAATTTTTTCCAGACAAACAGTGTGATATGAATCCAATTTGCCGTCATATTTATGGTCCAATGTATGCTGTTTAGACATTTTTGTAATAAAACAACTAAATCATCTCGAAATAATCTAAAAATACAAATAACCTGCAACGACAACCGTATCAAAGACATTGCTAAGTAGGGGTGCAGAAAAAAAAAAAGATTTATTCAAGAATCTAAAGTCCTGGCGATTCTGAATCAATTCTAAAAGGCCCATAAATCGATTTTAAAATGCGTTCAAGTTTGATTTTTTTCCAGTCCTACTTCCGAGCGCACTGCGTATCATATTACGTGTTCGCTCGGCCGCCGTAGAATTTGGCCGTAAGCTAGTTAGCCAGCTCCCTTTACCTGAATGGAGTCTGCTAGCATAGAGCAGGAGGACAGCGCGATTCAACACGCTCCTTCGTCTTTAAAAAGCATTTCGGATCCTACAATGTTCCAGGGAAGACAGAGCTTCACAAGAGCACGGTTGTTTGCAAGATGTGTAAAATAAAACTGCGGTTTGGTATTTTGGAAATGCGACAAAATGTGCGGAAGGAAGATGAAAAGTGAAGCAGCAGACCAGCGAACTCTGCAACAAACTTACTCCATCTCCTGCTATATCACAAAGATTTACGAGCAGACAGCTCAGTGGAAGTCGAGGGGTTTAGGTTTATTTTTAATACGCTGGACCCAATGTGCGTCATTCCTTCATGTAGCTTTTTTAGTGATAAAGCTGTGCCACCACTCCACCATGAAACAAAAATAAAGTGGGAGAAGCTCTGATTAATGCACCAGCTGCAGCTCAAAGGGTAACTGTTTTTTCTCATATTATACTAAAACTTATAAACAAGTTGTACAACAAACTTAATGCAATTTGTCTTTTTAACAGGTTGAAGAAAGGCCAGATGAGACACATCGCCTGGAACCAGTTCTAAAAGATACAAACAGTTTATAAATTACAGTTCAGAAGAGTTTTTGTGCAGACTTGCACAGGCTTTGAAATTTAGTTAAAGATTTACCAAATACGAATCAAGCTGGTTATGACTATGAAGTCTGTATATTTCATATTAGGTTAAGTTTTGAAATATAGAAAATGTTAGAGCATTATGGTTAAAACAACTGTGGTCTATTTTATTTTGAGTTAATGGTTAATATACTATGGTAGGCCGAAGTGTCTTTACTTTTGTATTTATATATTTTGAATTATTTGTCTGTGATGGACTTGAGACCTGTCCAGGTGTCCCCCAACTCTCGCACAGTGACGGCTGGATACAGTATGGGCACCAGTGACCCCCGTGACCCGTAAAGGAAGACATGAGTAAAGATAATGGATGGATCAATTATTTTTTCCTAGATTTTTATTTTATTTTAGAAAAGGCCAGGCAGCTAAGCTAAGCTGGTCATTTAAGTTACAGAATTTTATGTACTCCTATGTATTGTTCCTGATTTTGGTATAAATTAAAAAGATTTGATACAGTAAGGAACCTAAATTTATAGTTTTAAATAGAAGTTCTATTTGTTTACATTGTTGTTTAAGCTTTTCATCCTGTCACTTGCATAATTTAAACACAATTTATGACCATTTCAATAGAAAAATCGTTTCTGAATCGAAAAATCGATTTTGAATCAAATCGTGACACTAACAATCGGAATTGAATCGAATCACGAGATACAGAGGTTCACACCACTAAGTTCAATCTAAGAACTACAATATTCTAAACTGATTTTTCCCAATGAACCTTAATAAAAGTGGCACAAATAATTTAACTATTGATGAAATTTGAACCTGCAACTCTTCAGGGTTCAGGGCACATTATTGCCACTTAATGAAATTCACCTCAAGTTTTAAATACAAATGTAAACAAAAGGCAGCAATACAAATCAAACCCTCAGTTACAATGTAAACATGTTTGAATAGACTTTAAAACCTTAGTCAAACAATACACAACGGCCTCAGCAATTTTTGTCTATCCTCCAATCTCGTTTTAATCATTCAAAGTGCACTAAGAGATTGCTGCAGCAAAGATTTATTTGTTTACCTTTGAACCACACGTTTCGTTTCCTCCACCTGCGTGTTTCTTGTTAATAACTAAACTTTTCTAGCACTTCCTACAAGATATTGTGCTTTATTGTAGCTCTTGTTTTCTAGTAGACACAACCACTTTTGTATTCTTGGGAGTAGTTTCCATTTTTGGATAGTAACTCATCAACATAAGCCAGCACACTGCCCTCACTCGCTCATGCTAGATCATGTGGAGCTGTTAAAGCACTAATATTGCAGAACGATGCTTTATCATGTAAAAAAAAAATATCGGTCGTGGGTATGACCTTTCATTCGCAGCAGAGTTGGAACGCACACACAAAACAAAGAGAGAACAAACAAAACAAAAAAAAGACAAAGCAGGGGGCATGGGTTATTTGGACAAATGCTTAAAATGCAGCAGGAAAGCGCAGCCTAAGGTCAGTACAAATCAGGATAGAGACAGCCTCCAAGGTAAAGCCTACAGACAGTGCGTGGGTGGCGCCTGTTGACCATGGGGGTCACTCATTAACAAACAGGAAAGGCTAAAACTCTCAGAGTCCATAAGAATTGTATGTACAGCCCAGGTGTATGGCCCATTCAGCCCAACAGGAAGGCCCCTTTATTCCCACTCCTCAAAGATGGACAGAGAAGTGGTCCCAGAAGGTGAAAGTGATCCTGGTGTTTTCTTTGTTTAAAAACTAAACTAGAGTTGCACGTCTATGCAGCTCTTTGACCCACTGAAGGGATCTACACAGTCACTGTAATGAGTTTACTCTAAAGGCTTAGACCCTTTAAATATCAGAAATACGTCAGCTCTTTTCAGCCTTCTTTCCAGTACACATTATTCAGCGAAATAGGTTCGTCAGAATGAGAATAAAATAAGTATGTTCCGCAGTTGGAAAGGTTCAGGTGGGAGGTCTTCCACGCTACAAAAATGGACAAATTCCATCACTTCCTTCATACTAATTACCATACACTCGGAGCAAAGGCCCTCCTTCTCTTCATCCTTTCAAAGCCCTTGCTTCACTACCTCTGGCAAACACGAACGCACACACAAACGCGCACAAAGACACACAGTAAGGTGCAGTTGGGAAATGGTTAACACTCCAGCCGTCCCCTGCTGCCAGTGAAAGCCCACAAAACAATGGACACATTGTTCGGCCGGGGCTAGATTCTAGACTCTAAGGCTGTGTATGTGTGTGTGTACGCACTCAGATGTCAGAAAGTAGTGCTCTTAACATGGGCATGTTTTTTTCCCCTAATTCCTCTATTAACTGCAAACGTGATCCAACAAGAATGAATTGCACTTAACGTGTTTTTAGGGGATGTGCTGCAGTAATTAAAAATATAAACTTTGACTGCATGACGGTGAGGTTAGCTGGTTTATTACCTCTCGGCCAAATGATGTCATAGCGTTACTAAGATGAGCCTGGACTCCAGCTGAGTTTATTACTGAAGTTTTGTTGATGATGTCAACATACAGACTGCAAGCTGCGGATTTACAAAACAGTCTGATCCGAGTTAAAGCAATAAGCATTATAGGTCAAAATACGAAAGAAACAGCCATCCCTTTGAATTTTTTTGGCCTACTTTATGCTACTTCCTGCTACAAAATATTCAGTAGACGTCTCTTAAGTGGACAACGTTGCATCAAAACGCTCAGCTGATAAAGATGCTTTACGATCTTTTCCTCAGGAGTTGCATGAGGCACCGTCAAAACCAGCACATCAATAGGTGGATAAAATATTGAATAACTTTCAGCCAATAGCACAAAAGTTCAGCAGCGGCAGGTTTTCAGACTGCCCGCAGGGTGGTCAGACACTTCAAAAAGGTTTAGCTTGGCCTCCTTTGAGGGCACGGTAAACAGGGGGCATAACGCTGTGCCCTCAGAGAGAACAGCTGGCGTGAGGTCACTTCCTCTGCTGATCCTACCCAAACTCGACTTTCTACACTGGACTAAAACAAGCTTTTTTTTTTTCTTGTTTCTTCTCAATCTCTCCCTCTACTCAATCCCCAATTTTTCAGAGGCTTCATCAACAGTTATCTCTGCTTCTTCCGGTGGCTGTCTTATTGTTTCAACAGACTTTCTTGCAGCTCCGTCTCTGTCAGATGCAGCACATCACTGTTATCTAGCAGTCCATTCAACGGCTTCTTATCGCTACCAGAGCAGACTGTTAGAGCTCCAGGCAGGCAGAGGTCAATGCGTCTGAATGCTTCTTTGCATTTGTAAACAAAAAAGGAAACAGTTTATGAACAAATCTATTGATAAAAACCAATCACGCACCAGAACAGCAAGGTCTGCATGTCATAAAAAAAAAGACAGGGTTGACTAATTGAGTGACACCTGTAGGTCTGAGTGGGGCTTGTCTTTGCAAGTCACAGTGCTGTAAGCACTTATCTTTCCTTTCTACATGTACAACAGCTGGCATGATGCAAACGTGGGAAACATTTAGCCCCACTTCCTTCTCAGTCAGTGGTGGATACTGGAGCAAGATAGAAGGAGCGCCAACAATACGTGCAGCGGTTCACGTTCAATTTTATCAGTTGTACTAGCAGCCAGTTGTGTGCCTCTAATCTTATGAGCCTGTGTATCAAACTGATCATACTGGCTTGGGCAATAAGACCTCAAATATTACAGTGTTTTCTCTCATACCAGTCAGCGTCATTGCTAGGCCTGTCACGATGACAAACTTTGCTGGGCGATTAATTGTCTCAGAAATTATTGCGATAAACGATAATATTGTTTGAAAGTTGACAATAATTAGTAATTATTGTCAAATTTTTAAATAAATGTTGGTTGTGTAATTTGTTTTGAGTGTAGTGCCTTTTGTGACCACCGGATGGCAGTATAAGACTGTTTGAACTGAAGGATGGCTAGTGAGGGAACGAGCTGCGTGTCTCCAAGAAAAATGGAAGGGAGGCCACTTGACGTGACATGGGCAGTCTCTCCATCCTTTTTTTGGTTCTCAAAACAGCGGACGCTCGGTGTGATTTGAGCTCTTTAGCATAGCATTTCACACAAAGCTTTTAATTTAAAAAAAAATCAGTAAACAAGTTCTCAGCTTTTTTTTTTCCAGCGAAAACCAACTTTTTACATGAAGGCACGGGTTTCAACCTTGAATTTTGGAGCTTTGACAAGACGGAGGTTTTATCCCGAGGTCGGCTTGTTAGCTTAACTCGTAGCTTAGCTTCTCAGCTTAGCTGCTTTTAACGATCCAAAAACGCAATTCTGGACGGTTAAAACAAATTTTAAAGAGAAAAGAGAAAGGGAGGGGTCAGTGAAGAGCACCGGAGTTGAGCCTTTTATCATCCAGTGTCTTCAGTAGAAAGAGAGAGACACGAAGAAACGATAAAGCCGATAAATGTAAATGAGGTTGATAATTTTCATTTATCATGCGATTAATTGATTTATTGTTTATTGCGACAGGCCTACTCAAATATTACAATGTTTTCACTCACACTGGTCAACATCATTACAATCATAGCATCAGTTTAAAAGGCTGCAAACCACTTCTGCTTAAAACTAACACATAAAGGAAAAAAATCAACAACTTTACATTCTAAATTCTATTTTTACATTTATTTCATTTAACATCTCGTCTTTTTTGTGCCAAGGCAAAGCTGTTACTGTGAGTGAGTCTGTAATTCACTGCTGTAGAACTTCTGTTTATCCACAAAAACAGATCATTATTCCAATAAAATGTGCTTTTATTATAAACTGTGATCGTTTTGAAAATAAATGTCATAAAGCAAGCCGTTTCCCCTTCTCTATAGATTAGATTAGATAAGATAAAACTTTATTGATCCCTTGGGAAGATTCTTGCAGGGAAATTAAAATTAAATTAAACTTGAAAAAAGACAATAATGCACACAAATCAGCTTGAATGTCACAAATATAAAAGTAAAATTGCCCTGTTCACAAACTTCCTTCCCACACTGAAGCATATTCAAGCACACGGCATGAATTTATGTGTATATGGTAGTGAATATGTACAGCCAGATGACTCATATCAGGCATTTACCTGCAGCATTCGCTACCTACGACAAGTTCAATGATTTTATGCGCGTTGGAACTCTTTTTCTTAGCGCCTCCTGAAATAACAGGAGTAATAAGAGGACCCTGAACTCTTGGGTATAAAAATAACACAAACATCGCAGGGAAAGATAAGGCGAGCTTCAACTGGGCTCGTTTTGTTCAGAACGCTGTCATCGCCAACTTTCGACAAGATTTATTTTTCAAATACGCACCTTGACAACTCTTACTATTTTTAGATATGGTTTGCTTAAATAGGGAAAAACACGAAAGAAGCCATCTTTTGAATAATTGTGACGAGGTTTATTACAGACCATAAACATGACCTAGCTGATCAAATGTCAAATGTGACTCAGAGGGACACCGTGTCTTGACAGTGCAATTACGTGATAAAATCCACCTCTAGCTTCTGGATGAGTTCCAGAGCTGTAACAACAAAATAACCCTGTTTTTCCACAGAATGCAGGGACCAAAAGGCAACTTCAAGCAGCACTGAAATGTTACCAACGAAAGACTTGTTTTGTAAGAACCTACAACCTTTGAAGCCTTCTCCTTCTACTGTTTTAATCCCATTTCCATAACAATAAGCTGTACGTACAACTCCAAAACAAAAGTAGCAACTGTGTCCTGAAGCACTAATGGTCACTGCTCCATCCTCGCACGCATTGATTTTTTTGGCTTGCTAACCACGTGACCACAAATCCCTTATATTAAACCTTTCCACTGACCTCCTGCAAACTTTCAGCCTTTTCCTAACTGCTTAGTTGTTGATTTTACAGCTGACAGATATGCCTGAGGTGTATTCACTGTTAACTGTATGTACTGCAAAAGCTCTTATGGCTGTCAAACCAATTCTGCCAGAGTACGCCTCCAACCGCCATGGACAATGTGATCAATGTTGAAGAAACACCCACACTTCCCTTACAGACATGTGTTTTCAGCCCACCATTAGTTTATTCTCACCAAAAAAGTTGTCAGCGAGGTGAATTATCTAGAATATTATAATATCCAGTTCTTTGTAAACCTGGTCTGGGAGTTATAATCGTTGTGATTACAGGCTGTTCAAGGAAAAACCACCACAGTGACTCTTACCAGTGCTATTCAGTCCACAACCACAAAACCTTAAGAGTCAAAATGTGCACCTTAAGTAAACAAGTTAAGAAATGCTGACTGGGTGTGTTAGTGGCTGTGATTTAAGTGGAACATAGATGAGTGTCCCTAAAAAAAACGGATGAGAAAAGGAAAGCAGGGCTTGTTTCTGGTTTGCTCTGTCGTGAATAGAATCAGGGGAGGGGAAAAAGAGATGGTGAAAAAGGAAAAGTACCGAGCGGAGTGCTACTTACAACGATGTGTGCCGGTGACGGGGACCTGGCATCTTTAAGTGCTTGTCTACTTTGAAGACCTCCTGGTTGAACATCTAGAAGGGGCCATTTCATCTGTAGGTACTGAATGGCAGAAAAGAAACAGAATGGAAAGAAAGAAACAAAACATGTTAACAATGCAAAAAAGTAAAGGAAAAAAAAGACAAAAAAAAGGAGACATTCTTTGACATGTGCATGGGTGTAGAAACTCAAAAATATGGAGACGCAAATAAAAATCTTAAGGCGGATGGTAGAAGGGATGATAATGGCCTCAAGCATGCGTCAGAGTAGCAGGAGTGCACGGAGTAAATGTGTAACTCAAATAATGCAGAGAACTGTCTTCTAGAAATATAACGCGCAAACTTAAAAAGCCAAGCCTCAAGAAAAAAAAAAAACTTTTTTTTTGTTTTTGTTTTATTAGCAGACAGACAGTTCCAAACAAACTGGAACTAGCATCCACAGTTCAAAGCTTTACGATGACCTCATGTCATCAATGTGACCGTTTTTATTGAAACCCATAAAAAGAAGTAAAGCATGGTGTCTCTCCACGCTCCTGTGAGGCCAAACCTCCTGACTGCTCCCATAAATGATTGACCTAGCCTCTATCAGAAGTCAGTATGTCTGTGGTTCCCCCACCCTTTTTCTCTCACGCACCCACACAAAAGCAGAAAAAAAAAAAAACAGATAAGAAGAAACAAGGTTCATGAGAAACATCCATCTAGTAATAAATGGGGTGGAGATACAATGTAATGATATATAATGGACTGTACCTTTTAAAATATTCGTTTTCATACTCGCATTGTCAAAATCATTGCGTCATTTTTAATATTTTTGTCAGACTAACGCCAATGACTTTCTAGCTATTGAATGTCTGATGTTTGCTTTCCTACAATACGGGAGCCAAATTCTGCTTATCAGTGTCACAGCCACCTAGTTTGTGACATGGAGGTCAAAACAACCTACGTAAAAATTGTGTGTGTGTTGGGGGGGGAGAATAGAGTTCATAACTATGGGACAACAGCTGTTTCAAGCATATTATAAGCTACTTTATTAGCATTTGTGGCTTTCTAAACACAGGACAAGTTCGCGGTTTTATTTGCAAACAACTTCTTCATCTATGTTTAAATTAGAAAATAAGATATCAAAAGAAAAGCCTCTCAAGACATCTATTAAAAAGGTCCCCACTTTTCCAAATCAAGATTATTGAAGTAAAAAAAAAAAGGTTTGTTTTAGGAACCTAAATGAAAGCAATAATTGGAGTTGGATAATTAACGAAGGAGAGTAGCTAACCTATGTTGTGACCCCAGTGTCACAGGCACTCATTAAAAATTGTTGAGATATCGCCATTAAAAAGCTCTGACAAGTGAATCTTAACTCAGTTGCATTTAAAACACCAGACAAAAACAAATCTCTGATATGATAAAAAAAAAAAAAAAAAAAAAAAAAAACGAACTGGCTTTCTTTTCCCTGCGTTATCTTAAAAAACATTTTACGAGTGACCAAGTCATTCTTTAGCAATCATGAGTTGAGTAGTTTCTATTATGTTTCACTATCACGTCATGGTAATTACTAAGCCTTGGAACGCATGTTGGCATAAAAAGTTGTCCGTTTAATAAATTATCCATCCATTCCTCAAACAATCAATGAAGTGCAAGAGCTAAGCCTAATGATCTGGTGCTTGTATGGTGACACAAGTGTGTTGCATTCAATTTCTCCGTGCTGCCATCTCGCAAAAGGTGTCCAATAGTTTGTATGCATGTCTGACAGCATCTGTGTGTATGTGCGACAGGGTGAGTGTGCATCAGTGCTGGTTGGAGAGTGAGTGTGTCGCGACCCTTCCTGAGACTGTGTCTAAATCAGTGGTAATTAGTGAAGAGTTCACTGTAGGGTGCCAGCCGGTGGTAGACGCTGGAGGGAGTTATTGACTGTATGTCCTCAGTTACAGCCTATGCAAGAAAGAAATACTGCCGGCTGTCGGGTCCTTTTGCACAACAGTCATTTAAGACCCCCAAATGACTTTTTCTGCTAAAAAACCTGTTTGTATGTCTCTGGGATTGCAAAAAGGAGAGGTTGCAAAATGCTTATTTTTAGACCCGCTCACCCTTTTTGATAATAATTCCTAAAAGTAGGAGAAGAGGGCAGCATCAGAATTGCGACAGGATTGCAGTCTTCTATGAGGTAGTTCAAGACAGACTCAACTGGTGCCAAGAAGCTCAAAGAATAAGCAGAACAGAGTGAAGACGAATTGTGAGTTTGGTTATGGAAAAGTTGTGCCGTGGCATTCTCACACGAGCAAACGTTGAAACACAGCTGCAATTGGTGAAGGGGGAGGGGGTCAAACAAGAGGACATTCTGAGGTGGTAGGGAAGGAGTGTGAAGGTGACACCCCTGAGCGTAGCAGTGAGGCACCATCCGACGAGTGAGTGAGAGGGTGTTTGAGCGCATGCCCTGACAAGTGGCTCCACTTCAGCCCCGTTGTTGCAAATGTTCTCACACGCTAATCTCTCCCGCAGATTTTATAAGCATGTCAAGGAAGACTGAGCCTTGGCAAGCGCCAGGCTCTCCGACCACCCCCTTCTTGGCCTCCTGCCTCCATCTCCTCCCACCCGTCTGCCCTGCTAACAGACGCACTGCCTCGGCTTGAGTAGGCTATGACCTCTGACCCCTCTCTGCTGCTCCAAGCCCCTCCTCGTTCCCCACTCTGCGACCTGAAAACTCTCCTGCTATGAGGGGGCCTCCTGTGTAACTCAAGAGCCATTCCAATGTGACAAATTGCTCCCGAGTTCCAGGATAACTCTCGCTCTTTCCCTTTTTCTCCACCTCACCCCACCCTCACGCAAACACTAACCACCCCGCCCCCCGTTCGAGAGACCCCCACCAAACAAGAGCCACCCAGTAGTTGTGCTGCTTCGTCCTTCTCCCCTCGCCTTTTCAGTTACCCAAAGTTGTTCTCATCCCCTACCCTGCACCCCTCCTCGCCTGGCCAGCCCCACAAAGAGAGTTGAATGACTCAATTGTCTCTGATGAAGTGAAAGACAACAGTTCTCTAATCCTTACATAGGGATGAACTCACCCTCCCTGTCCTAATTTTCCTGTCATCGGCTGCAGTCCCAAGTGCACGGAGGGGGCTGGTGACAGGGAGCTACAACCAATAAACAATTTATTTGTTGACTATTTGCAGTTGTTTCAATTAATGTCCATGAAAATGATTGGTCAATAACAATTACATTCCCACCTGAAAGGTCAAATACAAATACCAAAATGTAATTTTTTTTGTTATTTTCTGGTAATTAATAAATGCCACTTTTGTTTAAGTGTTGACCAAGTGCTTCCCCTTTGCATGCTGAACCACTCGTCCATATAGAAATGTCTCCTGTTATACAACTGTTAATACTAGAGTTTGACATGTTATGCGCTACAGTATGTTAACCCATATCCAGAATGACTGTCATCACAGTGAAAACAAGCTGGAGCCCTGGTCTGAGTGTCACAGCCGAAAGGATACAGGGTAGAGGCAGATTGAGGAGCATCATCTTTCCATATCCTCATACTGACCAACATAGATGATATTAACTTAACAAGCTGGTAGAGAAGGAATTGAATCTAAAATACCTGTTTGGTACTAGAACTTTATTTCAATCCTCTTTGTTTGTAATTTAATCAAATTGTAGCCAATTAATAAAAAAGAGTGACTGACAAGAAGAGAGCAGAATGGTTTTGTCTGCATCTTGTCAACAACCAGTTTCTTTTCCATCAAGCATCCATCTGACGTGTTTATGACACGTCGGCTGGCAGCCAGAGCAGCCGCCACCACACAGTTTGTTCGTTTTGTTTTGGATTAAGAGCAGAGGGCTTGAGACCAATCAAACAAACTGAGCCCCTTATGTGCCAACGTGGCCCCCAAACACTGGTTTCATTTCCAACAGGCAACCATGAGAGAAATGATGAGGACCACGGGGGTATTTTAAACATGTGGGCAATGTGAGCAATGGATTTGGAAGCAGGGGAAGGGGGGTTAGACAGGGAAAGGCAGATAGCAGCTTTGGTTTCGAGTCAGCATATGGATGCTGGGTGTTGCTCCAGAGAGGCCAGCAGAACTTCTGACCATCTGTGGCTCCCACATATCGCAAAAGCAACATAGCTCAGCTCAGCCACTTGGATAATACATTAACAATGACCCCCTCCATTTTCACCCCAACGTTCTGTACATGCTTATTAACGGATTCACACCTGAACAACAATGTTCATCCATCTTTGAACAACATCCCATGGCTGAATGGCCCATCTGGAGAGCTTTTACAGATTGATTGACAGCTTGCAGATTACACCAATCACTACTATAAAGAGCTTTATTTAAGTCTGGTAATGATCAAGGCTTGTAAGAGATGCCCATTCAAAAGCTATGTAAGTAAACAACTCTGAGCTTAAAAGATTAGTCAATCCAGTTTGACTACAATTTTATCACTTTAAAATGAAATGAAAGCCAAGCATATTGGCAAAATTTTTTTTAGCAGATAATGCCGATGGTCTTTGTTGTCATACACAGGTGCGAGAAACAAAGCAATGGGAATCCTTATGCAAATACATAACTTATTGAGAAGGTCAAGTATTATTTTGTAATTGAAAGACAGAGATGCTTAACTTAAATGCTTTCAAATGCTTAAGTCTATTTATGCATACAGTCTTTTTGTGTGGAGAAGGTACGAGTCAAAAGAATGAAAGCAGTGCAAGAATTTCTTGATAAAATTGAGAGAAAGTTAGTAAACACTGGAGGGCCCATCATGGCTCCTTTGGTTCTGCTAATGCACATTTTATGAGTAAATATTAAAGAAAAAAAAGAACCCCACCTGCTTTGATAGCCAGAGGCATTTTGCAACCAGGAAAATAAAAGTGAAATGTGGGAAGGCCTGGGGTTTGCTTGCCCTGGGGCGGGAAGGGGTCCACTGGGTCCGTATTTACTCCAAAGCCAGAACCGCTTGGGGGTTTCACTGGCCCTGACAGCACTGAGGCTGCCGACCTGATCCAAAACCTCCCCTCCTCACCTCCCATCCCTTTTGCCAGCAATCTCTATCTCAACCTCAAAC